CGCCAAGCGCCTTTCGGCTGTCTACGGCCGCTGTTTCCCACTCGGGAGGGGGGTCCTCCTCCGCTCCCAGTGCAGACCCCGCTGGGTCCGTCACACCACCCACAAGTGACCCCATGCTACAGAGGAAGGCAAAAAACCTCCAGGGCCTCTGCCAATCTACCCTAGAGGAAAATTCCTTCCCGACCCCAAATATGGCAATCAGCTGAACCCTAAACATTGGGCAAGACTCACCAACCAGACACCCAGAAAAAAGTTCTCTATAGTAATTCCTATCTTCCCACCATTGGCCTATTTACCACTGATAGTGAAAGGTCAATTAATTGCCAAGATCATGTTATCTTATCAAACTATCCCCTTCATAAACCTATCTAGTTTAATCTTGAAGCCAGATAGGTCTTTTGCCCCCATTACTTCCCTTGGAAGGCTGTTCCAGAACTTTACTCCTCTGATGGTTAGAAACCTTCACCTAATTTCGAGTCTAAACTTCCTAATAGCCAGCTTATATCCATTTGTTCTTGTGTCCACATTGATATTGAGCTTAAATAATCCCTCTCCCTGCCTGGCATTTATCCCTCTAATATATTAAAAGAGAGCAATCATATCTCCCCTCAGCCTTCTTTTGGTAAGGTAAACAAGCCAAGTTCCTTGAGTCTCCTTTCATAAGACAGGTTTTCCATTCCTCGGGTCATCCTAGTGGCCCTTCTTTGTACCTGTTCCAGTTTGAATTCATCCTTCCTAAACATAGGAGACCAGAACTGCACACAGTATTCCAAATGAGGTCTCACCAATGCCTTATATAACGGCAGTAACACCTTCTTATGTCTACTGTAAGTACCTTGCCTAATGCATCCCAAAACTGTATTAGCCTTTAAACGAGGTTTACAGGAGTGGTCAACAAAGGTTTCTCTGGTCGACCGATCCACATCTAGACTGCCGTGCTCTGCCGGATTAGCTGATTGTTGGCACAGCGCAGCAGCCATTTTTATTTTAATGACGCAGGCATTATTTAAATCCTCATTTCATTGACTATGTCGGGTAAACTAGTTTACATGGCTCCGTTGATGGAGCCATGTAGTCTAGACATACCCTTAAAGATTAACAAATATATAGATAGATAATATCATGAACTTTCATGGGCAAAACCCTCTTCCTCAGATGAGCCTGAGAGGGATAACAAGAACCCAGAAATTATAAAAAAGTAAGAAGGGGTAAAAAATTACCTGTCAATTGTAGAACCGGTGCTAATGACGATGGTGGTCTCACCAGAGACTGGCAGTCTGGAAGTATCCCATACTTAGCTTTTGATATAAAAATGAGGTGTTAAAGGCAGGGGATATTAGCTTTATAATGTGACATCCTGTTAATGTCTTTATTTCTCTGGGCTTGTACAGTGTCAAATTTGTAGATGAACGTCTATTCCATGCACTCTCCCTGTACTTGGCTGGTGAAATTCCCTTGTAGAAAAATGGGTAAATCATGGCTTTGTATAGCAAAGTCACCTGAGTGCTGCATACTGTTTCTTTATATCAAATCCAGGTGAGCCATTAACCAAAACATGAACATGCCAAGTAATGAAAATTATCTTTGCCTTCTAATTACAAATGGGAAAATATAGGCAAAATATGAGGAAAGTTTCCTGGCACTGTGATGTAGTGTACTGAGCTATGGAGTGAGGGGGGATTTGATAGCAGCCTTCAACTCCCTGGGCTGTTCTCAATAGTGACAGATGGCAGAACAAGGAGCAATGGCCTCAAGTTACAGTGGGGAAGGTCTAGGTTGGATATTAGGAAAAACTATTTCAGTAGGAAGATAGTGAAGTACTGGAATGGGTTACCTAGGGAACCCTGGCCGGGTTGATTTAGTTGTGATTGGTCATGCCTAGAGCAGGGGGCTGGACCTGATGACCTTCTGAGGTCTCTTCCAGCTCTATGGTCCTATGGTTCTATGGAGCAGTCTCTCTAGGGGCTCTGTCTTCTGTGACTTTTTAAAATAGTCAAAACATATGGAATTGACAGATTGGATCAGACCAACAGTCTGTCTAGTCTAGTAACCAGTCTGAGAGGGGCCAGACCCTGATACTTCAGAGAAAGGGGAAAGAACCCCATAACAGGCATACATGGAATATTCGGAAATATGTAGAGACAGATTATGTGCTATAAGGAATCACTCTGTACCTCTACTGGCAGAGCTTGCCTAGGCAATCAAATGGGGATTTTCCATTTGTGATTCTAGAGTGAGTAACTCTTCCAGAAATAATGCCACTACATTTAATCTCATCCTTAGGGGACACCAGTGCTATTTCACAGCAGTCAGAAAGAAAACCACAGAACAGTGCACCTGAGAATCCAGTCACCATAGTGCCGTCTGACACAGCAGGTACCAGTCATGTAATTTCTGTAACATATTTCTTCTGTTGGGTTGCATGGGAGCAGAAAAAGGCCAACCTTGAGTGTTTTTCAAATCCACTCTTTAATGTTTATGTTTTAGATTTTGTCATCTTCGATTCAGACATAGCAGTCACAAAATCCCCTTGCTAGGAACAGCTGTTAATGTGTATCAAAAGGCTTTTTTCATATTACCGTGCTTGGCCAAAGTTTGCAGGGCCCCAGGCAGCATGCTGACAGTGGCTGCACTGCACGCCCAGGAAACTTCCAGCCAGAGCAGCAATTGAGAAGCCAGGCATATGAGCGCTGGGCAGCACCGGGCCCTAAAGGCACGGGGTCCAAAGCAACCACTTTACTGGCCTTGCCCTAAGTCCAGCCCTACATTTTGCCCCCTAAAGCTGGGGGAGACTGGTTTTCTCCACACAGGAAAATGTTGTTGCATTGAAAATCTCACTGATGTGATAAGAGCCACAGTGAGATAAGTATTGTGCCTAAGTGTCTGCTCCCTTTGGATTGCATAGGTTACTGTGGGATGCCCATGCCCATGGAATATGCCACAGCTAAGGTGACAGAGTATGCTGTGGGTCAGGAACTGCATTACAAGTGTCTGAGCGGTTATGATGCTCGACCCCCGACCTCTGGTATCAGGACATGTAAGGAAGAAAGTGGGAAAATCTTCTGGACAAGTCTACGTCTGCAGTGCACTAATGACAGCAAGAGTGTAGAAGAGACGACTCAATCGATTCCAATAATAGGTACAAAGCAATCTTTCATCCGCTTGGTCACATCACTAGCCAAGAGGCTACCAGCAAAACCAAAGATCAATTTGGGGCTAGGTTCTGTCAGACCCTTGAGGAGACTCACTTTCTCCAGACATACTACTTGTTCAACCAGGACTGGATCCTGCTAATTGGAACATAGGTTCTACACGTGCACCATATCTGTACCACTGTGCATTAATCACTGTATATTAATAAAGTCATATAGAAATGGCTGAAATTACAACTGCTTTATCTAACAAAATACTAAACATAGAAAGCAAACATAAAATCTGGTTGTAACAAATGAAGTGTGGTTGGGGTTAGAACTCAAACTAGGAATGGTTTAAAGAGTCCTACCACTGTCTCGATGTCTGGAGAAAAGAGCTAAGTGAGTGTCTTTAGGCTGAGGAAAAGGAGCAAGCAGAGACGGGACGGAGTTGCAGAGACCTAGGTAAGTAGGCAGTCTTCTCTGTTCTGGTCTTCTCTGTTCTGGTCTTCTTTCTGCCTTTCTCCTGTACTTGACACGCCGCCCTGTGTGCAGTGTGCAGACCAGAGGATGAGATGGTATGTATGCATGTGTGTATGACTGGCCCTGCTGTAGACTCCTACCTAAAACAAATAAACCCTGTGCTAGCAGTCATTACGGCTATAAAACTGGATTGCTGCACCACAAAGGGCTGTCAGCAACCAGGCTGGTTTCTGCCCCAGATGGCCTACAAAGCCAAACAGCCTGCTAGCTATCTCCTTAGCACCGCTGGGTTATATTGATAACATGCACACAGAGAGCCCTGAGGGGTGGGTGAACCCCCCTTATGAACAAACCCTCTGGTTACTGGGCAGATTAGGGTCATGTGACCTATTTTCCCGCCTTTTCTCTTTCCTGCCTTTCCTCTTTTTCCCATTCTTTTCTGACAGGAAATGGTGACCAGGAGACTGGATGCCATCTTAAAGAGGACATAAAAATGGAGGACATAAAAAAAAAGCCTGGTGCCACTTCCCCAGTATATCCCCTCCTTGGCAATCTGGTACGTTGGTGCCATAGTTGTCACATTAACATTTACACAGGAGGAGGCACATAGCTACTAAAATTAACTACCCTCCTGGTTTTCATCTTTACCCAACTAATTATTGCAATCATGGCTATAAAGGTTACAAAATAAACAATTAAGATAGTAACAAACGGATGCAATAAGATGTATCATGCATTACTCATCTCTATAGGGCTGGCAAACAAAGATTCCCACCAATAGGCAAATTGAGAGTATTGGAGCACTCTTTTCAGGATATTTTCAATTTCAGTGTTGGAGTGGTGCACTGTTATCATTGTGCTGTGATCCTGCTTTACAAGCTCCTGAATATGTTGCTTTAATTCGGGATGCTTTACCTATTGCCTTAATACTCTCAGGTTAGCTCCCAAATTCACAGGCTCTACATGGTCATATAAATCATAAGCAAGCCTTATATCCCTGGTATTCAACTTCTCCAAAATAAACTTAATGTCACAACCCTCAGAAATAGCACAAAACATAAGCACAAATTAATGTGAGGATCATTAACAATAGGGTAAAAGAAATTAACAATAAACTGGGTACAAGTACTCTTGATGCATATACAGTGATTGTTGATTATAACCAACTCCGACTGAGATGTATTTCTTCGTTGCATATGGTAATGGCATCTTCCCTCAGCTGTACTAGGACATATGTGTGGCCCCCTACAGATTTTGGTGGGACACACATATCTAATATTTACCTCCCGTACATATGGAAATGGATAAATCCCAGGATATTCTCCTCAATCCTCTATTACCAAATTTGGTATATCTATGGGCATTAATACAGAATGGCTACGTCTAGACTGGCATGATTTTCCGGAAATGGTTTTAACGGAAAAGTTTTCCGTTAAAAGCATTTTCTGAACAGTGCATCTAGATTGGCATGGACGCTTGTCCGCAAAAGCACTTTTTGTGGAAAAGTGTCCATGGCCAATCTAGATGCGCTTTTGCACAAAAAAGCCCCGATCGCCATTTTCGCGATCAGGGCTTTTTTGCGGAAAACAAATCTCAGCTGTCTACACTGGCCCTTTTGCGCATAAGTTTTGCGCACAAGGGACTTTTGCCCAAACAGGAGCAGCATAGTATTTCCGCAAAAAGCACTGATTTCTTACAGTAGGAAGTCAGTGCTTTTGTGGAAATTCAAGCGGCCAGTGTAGACAGCTGGCAAGTTTTTCCGGAAAAGCGGCTGATTTGCGGAAAAGCGTCCGTGCCAATCTAGACGCTCTTTTCTGCAAATGCTTTTAACGGAAAAACTTTTCCGTTAAAAGCATTTGCAGAAAATCATGCCAGTCTAGACGTAGCCTATGATTTTATTAAGAGACTCGGCCAAGGATTGGTTCAAAGAGGCTAATTTGTAACTCACATTGCTAATATGTTGGGCAATAGTACCTGTACTCAAAGCATTGACAATTCCCAATCCGGTACCCACCTCCTCTAGAAGCTTGGCAGCAATTTCTCGCTGTGAAAGTGATATAAATGAAGACTGGCTATACTTACTTGAAACCTGCAGATTTAAAGTAACTTTCCATAAGGCATACCAGGGTGTGTCACCATCATGCGCTTCAGATCCTCCTTAACAACCACTGAACCTATATGATTAACATGTTGTTTTGGAATAACTTGTACCTGGATATGATATTTGGACCCAAACACTCCTATCAGGGTCCAAACTTCTGAATCATTACCAGCTATAGACATATTTAATTGTCTCACACAACTTGCTTTGTTTATAGATGGTAAGTATACAGGACAAAGACTATTTACATTACCAGTTGAATTACAATATTGATGAGCACCAGCTTCACACTTAAGATCAATAAAATACTGACAAGAGGGAGTATGTAGTCTCATTTTTTTGCACAAAAATAAAGAACTGACCATTGGAATAGACTGTAACATTAAAGATCCCTTCCTTAACATGACTGGCTAACACTGAAGAAATATAGGCACACTTCAATGGACTTTTTGTCACAAAGCCACCTGTACAACCAGTGACCCTCGGATCTTGAAGCTCCCAACTACAACCCCCGAGATATTTTTGAGACTCTACCTAGGAGTAAAATTTCTCGAGCCCACTGCTCATTTTTCTATGCCAAAATCGTATTTGCTCTACTACCCTTTTCCTTCTTCCACTGTAGCTCACAGTCTTCTCCATTTGTATAAGCAAATATGGAAATATGGATACCTGTAGTATCCTCAATTCTAGGCCTAAAAGGGAAGCCCCAGTCCTTAGGTTCACTGGGTTGCGATCCCCTTATTCCTGTTACAGGAGTCACAGTACAGAAATAACTGTCCCTCATGCACAGTAATAGCCATACATAGGGTTCTACAACAGATAATAAAATACATTACATCCATGAGGGGACTGCTGATCCAAGTTTCCTATGACACAGAAGAAGGAGACAATAATTACATTCACATTATAGTACATTCAGTTACCCTTCCAATCTTTAATCTGGCTGGAATGGAACCATTTCAATCGGGACTTCCTCCCCTTACGGCTTTTCAGCTCAAGCTCATAGACCACCAGATTTGCTTTATTTGTAATCTGAACTGGACCCATCCACCTTAGGTTAAAGGCGTGACCTTTTTTTCCTGAAAAGGACTTATCCAGCACTTTATCACCCATGTTCCATTCTTTGGGCTTAGAAGAATCTCCCAGCCTCTTATCCATTGATCTTATGTTGGTCTTTAACCAGATAGCCACTTGGTGTTGGATGTTATTAATGTCATGTATGATTTCTTTATCAATTAGTCTACACACAGCCTGAGCTGATATTCATCTGTGGGACACCCCCGATCCATCAGTGTTCAGTCAGGCGCATCAATTGACCGGTCATTGCCTGATGGGGGATGTATCCAGGAGAAGCTACAGAAGATCTCAGGTCCATAAGAACCAGCAGGAGTTTCCGATCCCAATCTTTGCCTTGACTATTGACTAACTTCCTCGATGCAATTTTCAGGGTATGATTTGTTTGTTCCATTATGACAGCCTGTAGTTGTTTGGTTCTCTCGCGTTGTGCTAGTTTCTGTAACAAATCTTTTGTAGGGAGATGATCTATAGCTTTCTTGGCTTCATACTGCAAAATTTTTTCCAAATTTCATTCCAGAACATCTTGTGCTCCTTCTGATTTGAACTTCCCAGGTGATTACTCTTTCCAAGCCGGATAGGAGATTTCCTCTTCCTCTTCTGTGAAGAAGATCCTTTGACTTCTTGCTGATGCTTCCAGGATTTAAGGGATCATCTGCCTCTTCTGCTGCCCTTGTTTGTAACAGCTGCCACCTTTTTCCTACTCCCTACA